TATATATATATATATATATTAATAATAAGCAAACTGATTTGTGAATTGGCTGTGCCATCAAAGGTTGGACAAGTGGGGTCTATTGCATCATTGTCAATTGAAGAGAGTAATCTCTTTGAATGATAAAGAATTGTATAATCTCCAAAATAATAATTAAAAAAAATATTAATTGAACAGGAAGGCTTAAATCCATAAATATAGAATACTATATTCTTTATTCATCCAAGACTAGTTGAAGAAACATAAAGCTTACAATTTTAAATAAGCTAAAATACGCGCGGGGCAAAAGCATTGGCCAATGTGAAATTGGTACAGTGGTAGAGGCACGGTCAGGGCTATGGGGTTGGCCAGACATGTTGTGGAGTCGTGGAAAGAAATGCGACCAATACAAGAGAGTTTCCAATCATAACGAGTTTTTAAGGTTAGATTATTTCCACACAACTTTAGGTGGATCAAATCTAAAAGGGGAGAGCCATTCTAAGCTGGACATGGTTGTTAGCTTCTAGCACCTAAGCGGTAGATCCAATATTTTTATCCTTAGGGGAATGACGATGAACTCTTGCTTAATTGGCTTGAACTTGGTTGACCATTTTTGAAATATAAAGCATTTCCAAAAGAAAAATCATGGTTTACTCAACCAGGCTACATCATAATCTTCATGGAAAGCAAAGTTGAGAAAACAGAAATCATGGCTCATAAATAACAATTGTAAGTTATCTTTGAGGATCCAAAACTTTCTGATGGCCTCTAAGAAAGCCACATTGGAGCATTTTGCTTATGAGATACCGACCAACACGATAGAAGCGACACAAGCTAAAATACGCCAAGAAACCGGGCTCGGTTGAACGGGCTACAATTCAGGCAACGTCAATGGGCCGAAGCTTCAGTGAATGGCAAAATGTCCTAGCGTCATTTTATCAGAAACTAATACCTTATTAAAATTATATTTGAATTATTATTATTATTATTATTATTTTTTTTTTTTTTTAAATTAGAAGGTTTTTTTTATTCTTGTACTTATTAAAAATTCATTTTTATTTCACTTGATACTCGATGCCACATTTGATATGTGTCATTCGCATATTTGTTATTTCCTAGTGGGATGCAACCATGACGTATAGGATATATATTTGATTTGAGTGCCATTTTTTACATGCATTAAACATTATATATTTGGGGGATTTACATACATAAAGCTAGAAACCTTTATATATATTTATATTAACACCCTAAACTTTAACATTACATTGATTAAAAAGTTTTAACCGGCATGGCGGTAATAATTTAGGGTGTTGAAATATTTGAAATTCTTCATAGGTGTCATCACGAGAACAACTTTGTCAAGCCAATAGCCTATGCCTCCAGTTTTGTATTAGAAAAAATGTTACATCTGGTCATCTGGATGTGCAACGACGGGTTAGATTTCAATGATCTAATCCATGTCATCCTCACATACAAACTACACAAGTAATATTTATCCTACCTTATACCCAAATATATAGTGCAAAAATAGACCCTCACCGAACTGAAGGAAAGTTGTTGTTGAAGTCGTCACTGCCACCTCCAGCCAGCCACCAAGGGCCGGCGATAGAGAGTAACCGACCAACCACCAAGGGTAGGCCACCTCCAACTGGCCAATATCTACCAGCCATAGGAAGTAGCCGACAGACCACCAAGGGTCGGCCATCACTAGCCGGCCGCCCTTACCTCGTCTGGCCACAGAAAAATTCGGCTCGACACATGGGTCGGCCACCAAATCCCCAGCCTGCCGACCATATGAGTCGACCATGGATAATTCAACTGTTCTGCCACTTGAGTTGGCCAACACCTACCTGCCGACTATCTGGGCTGACCACATAAAGGGCCACTTCTAGCCAATTGGCCGCTTAGGCCTACCATCTGCACTGACGAGTCCAATGACGAGAACACTTTAATGAGACAGGTCTAAGTAGGGAAATGACCATTATACCCCTCA